TACAGATGGCTAGATGGACAGGTAGATGGATGGACAGAACAACAGACACATAGACAGAAATACCCCTGATGTCAATCGACTTCCTTATCTTTTCCTGTTTTTCCCATCTATGTGTGAACTAAAGTCCTGCTGTTATAGCAAATGTACTTTGGGCAAGTATAAAACCGCCTTTAGCAGCCACTGAGGCACAGGTGGCCTACAACCGAGCATCCGCAGAGTCTTCAAAACTGGCTCATTATTTCTTCTTGTCGGGCCTCTTCTCTGTCTCTACTGTCGGTTCCCCACCTCCCTTTATCCCTGGAATTTCCACAAGGTTTGCAACCACCCCTGCTAATTTGTCTGTGCCCGGTGCTGGGCTATGCAACACTCTCGGTTGTTCTCAACCTGCAACGGGCACTGCGTGCCCAGCAGAGTGCTCTCACAGAGCGGGCACTCAGGAGATGCAAGCACCCCGTTCCCATTCATGGGCCGGTCTTTGATCTTTCACGGTGCCCAGTCTCTTTGTCTTTCATACGATCAGGTTGATACGTACAGATAATGCTCCTCTTAGGGCTCAGCAAAGCACGTGGTCGCCATCCCTCGCTGTGTATTTGTGCACATCTGTGAACAAAGTTTTCTTTTTTTCTTTAACCCTTGAGTAAGACACTCGCTATGCTTGCAATAACTCATTTGTGGCTGAACAGTTTGACAGCCTAAAAGTGCCTTATTATTTTCATAAATTTCCTCCACCCAGTGGTTCTAATTTAATAAAAGAGTCACTTCTGCGTTATTTATATTTTTATAAATAGTTTGCATTTCCATTATAATGAATACACACTGGGTTTTAGTTATGTTAGTGTGGCTGCGCAATTCACTTTCTAGAAGCAGCATCACCACCCTTCCAATGCTGCTGCTTCTCATCTAATGATGACAAACCTCTAGAGGACATGAGAGCCTAAGGTTCACATCTAAAAGGCAAAGCAATCACAAAGCATGATTATTTCCACCCGTATAACTCTATACTTGCATCTGAAAAAAAAAAGCTCTTATTTATAACATAAACCACATCATGGAATCCTTCTATTTTCATCTCTTTGCAGGCTCTCATTAAAGCTAACACACATAATAGCATTAAAAAGTGATAGCTATTGCGTTATTATGGATTAATGCAAGGTGCATTGACACAAATACTAAAAATGACCATTACAAACACAGAAAAACATTACTCCATCATACTCTTAGGGACTTCATTTCTGTAAGATTTTTCCTATCTCCTGTTCATCCAGGGTAGAGCCAGAAAAATTAGAGTCTCTGGCTCAAACATATCTTTACTAATAGGATTGTTTCCTCAGGAATTAACTTTCTATGATGCCCCTAGTTTTGAAATTTTACACCCTCTGATAAGTATATGAAAATCCCAGCATTTCACTTTGACCCACTTCAAATTTACATGGCAGAGCTCCAAATGCTGAGAACTGCATAGTGCCCATTCTTAGCACATGATATCAACCATCTGCCCTGGCCATCAGGACAGAGTCCAGATATTTCTCCCATGTGATATTATAAAGGCAATGTGCTCTTGACATTTATGTAATTTTTTCTGGTGAAATTTGCAGGTGATAAATGGATTCTAGCTTTCTCAAACTGGGACCTACCTCACATGCATGTGAGTACTTTTCTTGTGCTGTATATCAACTGTGTGTGTGTGTGTGTGTGTGTGTGTGTGTGTGTGTGTGTGTGGTGAGCAATTTAACAGAGACTGAATCATGTGAGTGCCCCCAGAAAAGCTAAAGATTCAGTAACGATTCAAACTGTTATTTTTTAAGTTTTTACCAAACATTTATTAAGTGGAACTGGAGGAAAGTTATTTTGTATTAACAAAAGTGTGTATCTATTTATGGTGAGTTAACAGAGTTATTAGTTCACGTACGTGAATGAACATATCACTTTCACATGCTTCAACCTCTTTCATTTCACAACTATTTGGTATCTCATTACTGGACAGAATTAGTTACTTATACTCCCCCGGGAAGTGATAACTTACACAGATACAGTTACAAAGTTAAAAAATGGATTTCAAAGTTCTTTTGTTTGTTTACTTTCACACTTTTTTTTTTGTCAAAACATTTTCCAGTTTTCTGTGGTCCTTTTTTCTGTTCAGTTTTCTTTTATGATTTACCAAACAAAATCCTCAGAAATAGAGATTCAAAATAAGTGTATAGTATTGTGACTGTAATTAATAATACTGTAATATATATTTGGAAGTAGCTAAGAGAGTATTTCTTAAAAGTTTTCACCACAAGAAAAAAAAGTTTGTAACGTGTATGGTAATGGATGATAACCAGACTTATTATGATAATTGTTTTCCAATATATATATACATATCGAATCACTAAGTTGTATTCCTGAAACTCATGTAATGTTGTACGTCAATCATATGTCAATAAAATAAATACATTTAAAAAAAGAAACCACTCATTTCCAGTAAACGGACCTATATAAACTACTACTCGGTTTAAGAATTTCAAGTATGAACTGCCAAATTCAAGCGATTCTAAATCAGGGTAGTGGTGTGGCTTGCCATAACACTATGCAAAATATTCAATAGAGAAATTCCTCAGTGCCAAGAATTTTTTGTTATTGTTAGGAAAATATTCATCAGGGATAGTTCAACAATGGCAACAATTCTTATTGGTATCTCGTGCCCACCCCTGTGAGGGAGCTGGAATAAATGTCGTATTATCAATCGCCTAAGTGTTACATGTGGAAACCTGAGTTAGCAGGTGCCATATTTGCCATTGATACTAAGGATACTCCACTGGCATACGGTGGTGCCCGGGGAAGCTGCCATTCCTTAACCCAGCTCTGTCCACCCAGACATGCACGTGCATCCACCAATCCATCAGCGAGGCATCAAGAATTACCATACTTAAGAAGAGTAATCCTTCAGTCTAAGTGTTTAAATGCACGATGCTAAACGTACACTGAAGGATTTGAAGCAAGGAACTTGCAACTATGACTCGGTCACACATCTGGTTCAGCCCTGTCCGGATGTCGGAATGCATCAGTCATTTTGGATTTATTCATAATGAAAGAAATCAAGTCACAACCCATGTGGTCTCAAAGGTCTACTTAGATGATGATGAAGACCTATGAGACTCCCTGAAGTATGGCAGACTTTCCAAGCTTATTAAGAATATACGTTTCTGACATTTTAAATATCTTAAGTCAGTGATTTTAGCCCCTTGGGCAAAACAGTGTTGCAGCATGTAATTCAGGTTATTTCCACAGAGCCAGTTCAATCTCAAATCATTATTTCTAATGCATGCTTAGCAATGCTACTTGTGTGAAGTCACTTTGCACAGCAGTGCCAGCAACCACACAGTGTGACTTCACCAATTTCTTTGTACAGTGCACAAAACAAGTAAACCTCTCAGCAGTTGGGAGCTTTGGCCAGAGGCCTGGGCTTGCCCCTGGGGGGTACCTCGTTCTTCTTCATGAATTCCAGCAGAGTCATCTTGCTTCTCAGCCTCACGCACTGGCCTCGTAAACAGATTCCCTAAATGATCCCCAAGATTCTGATGTCACATTCGGAGGGGACGCTTGCTTTTCTTTTTTGCCAATTCTGCCACTTTTTAAGTCATTCCTATCCAGTCAACCACTGTCAAGAGCCATCAATGAGTGTTAATGCTCTGTTATTAAAGAATTCTTGGTAACTTGTTTCATAGGGAGAGTTGGCCAAGGGCGGCCATGGGAAGGCAAGACGAAGAAAACCCATTTCAACTACTCCAAGTTGATTTCTGTGAAACACAGAGAATCAACTGATGTCCCATGCAGGCTCATTTGGAGTAAAGTGGTGTGTATTACAGCCAGAAAGGCAAATGAAGTAAATCACACAGTGAGCAAACCAGTTAACAGTAGCAGAAAATGTTAGTGGTGTCTGGGTGGCTCAGTTGGTTGAGCATCCGACATCAGCTCAGGTCATGATCTCGTGGTTCAAAAGTTCAAGTCCCGCATCGGGCTCAGTGCTGAGAGCTCAGAGCCTGGAGCCTGCTTCAGATTCTGTGTCTCCCTTTCTGCCCCTTCCCTGCTCTCTCTCTCCCCCCACTCTCTTTCTCTCAAAAATAAATAAACATTAATTTTTTTTAAAGCAGTAGTAGAAAATGTTAGAAGTGAAAATACAGATGTAACCCAATGGATTACACTCATACTCTTGTAAGTTACTAGTATGAGAGTATTATATTTAAAGCATATCGCCCCACACCTGTTAGGAGGGCCATTATAAAACCAAACAAACAGAAGACAGCGAGTGTTACTATAAATGATTGTAAAATGGTGCATCTTCTGAAAAAAACATGATGGAGGTTCCTCAAAAGATTAAAAATAGAACTACCATTTGAGACCAAACAATTCCATTTCTCGGTATGCATCCAGAGCAACTGAAATCAGGATCTCAGAGAGACATCTGCACACCCGTATTCACAGCGGCATTACTCACAATAGCCAAAAGGCAAAAACAACTATACTTCTAGCCACAGATGAATGAACAGAGAAAATGTGGTGTATACATACCAGGGAATGTTACCAAGCCATAAAAAAGGAAATCCTGAATCACGCTACGACACGGATAAAACCCGAGGACATAATGCTGAGTGAAATGAACCACTCACAGAAAGACAAATACTCCATGATTCCACTTATATGAGGTTATCTACAGTATTCCAACTCGAAGAAACTTTTGGTGTTTTATATATATATAACCAATATACATAAACATATACATGGATCAGCTCTCTCCTAGGGATGCAAAAATATCAAAAGCAGGAGCAACAGGGCACCTTATGCTTTTCTTAGTTTACCCTGAGGGTAACAAGTCCTATCTCTATGGTCACTGGAGTAGTGTTCACCGGAAAGCAGCCTGTTCAGAGCCCTATGCCCCCGCACTGCCCCACCGAGCATTTGCACTTAGCTTCACAGCACAGCGAGTGCAATGTCAAAATCACTACGGAAAGACTCTTTACCTTGGTGCAAGGAACCTGGGAAACACTGGACACGGTCAGCTCCTGAGGACAGTTCCCAGAAGAGGCCACAGGTCACAGGTGGGGTGGGCTGCCGGCTGGAACGGCTGTCGCTACGCGCAGCATGCCCTAAACCCTGAAACGGAAGAAACCACGTGCGTGTGACCAGGGTGGAACAATTCTGAGTCGTCTCTTTTTGTAGGTTCTTAAATTCCTGCAGGAACATCGCACTTAACTGCTTCACCCGTGCTTCTGAAGGCAGGCTGGAAATGGAAGCTGTCTGCCTGTCTCATGTACTCATAAACACTTCCTCAAAGCAGTGTGGTTTCTTCCTCGGCACCTGTGCTCACTTTCTGGCTCTTATTCCTCCACTCACTCACTGTCCTCAGTTGTGTCACTTGCTTCAAGCAATCCAGGTCCTACATTTAGATTCATGGCTACGTATCCATCAGCTGTACCTAAGAACCACTAGACTGGCACATTCCCCTGCACCTTACATGTGGAGGGCAGCTTCTGAGGAGGGGATGCTGGGGACAGGATAGCAGGTGTAGAGCCTCGCTATACATTTGCCAAGTATGGTCTGCAGAACAGCAATGGAGCCATCACATGGAGCGTGCTAAACAAGCAGGATGCTGGACCCTACTCCAGAACTACTGAATCAGAGCCTGCATTTAACAAGATCCCTGCATGAACTGAACGTCGAATGGACATTACAGTTTGAGAAGCTCTGGTGTAAAATCTGAATATATTTGGAGCCAGATTTTAGAATTCACGGAGGGGGTATCGTTTCCGTAAGTGCAAGGCTACTTCTAGAATAAGGAAATAAATACTATTAATCAAATACTTATTTGTGGGATGCATTACTTACTTTCTTTGAAATAAGAGGAATAAATAAATCCAATTATTTTACGGATAGGGCCTTAAAGCATCATCAATAAGTTTAATAACCTTCCACAATGAGACTTAAATACATACTCTTTTTCTTTGTATTTTAATGAATCTTTTCATAAGGCATAGTTAAATCGTATTAGTAACAAATAGGCGTGTTATCGTAATTTAATAATACTGAGAAATAATTCCCCCCAAAAGGGAAACAGGGCATAAACAGGTGAATTTTACATGAAGTAAAAGGAATCTAAGTGCTAGAACCCTCCATTTCCACATGCCCTTACAGGGACCAGCAACTAACATGCTATTTAAGTCTTTGTTCTTTTTCTTAAAGGCAGACTCAAAAACTATATAACTGTGAACCTCCGTAAAACCCGGAACCATCCCTGGCCTAATTAATTATGAAAACCATTTTTAACTTTGGAATATACCACTTTTTAGTTTCTTTCAATATACTAGGAAATACCTCAAATTATATCACAATCATATAGTCTACAAATGAAAATAACTATTGAAGGAGGACCTGGAAATAATTCTGCTCATAGGTAAGAGAAGTTCTTTGTAATAAAAAGATTCATATCTTTCAAAGTTATCATGTAACACCATTAAACTAAACATATACATGGTTTATTCATATTTCTCTTCCGCTCTTCTTTTTCTCCCAAATTAACTAAAAAACCTGAATATTGCTGGGGGAAGGGGAATAACTAAAAGAAATACACAAAAATACTTTCTGGGCATTTTTGTTTACTTCCGCTTTATTATTTTCTTCAAGTATTACAAGGTCATATCTATTTGTGCTTCTTTGCGTGTTTTAGAAAATACAAAAGGTGGGGCGCCTGGGTGGCTCAGTCGGTTAAGCGCCCGACTTCAGCTCAGGTCACGATCTCGCAGTCCGCGAGTTCAAGCCCCACGTCGGGCTCTGGGCTGATGGCTCAGAGCCTGGAGCTTGCTTCCGATTCTGTGTCTCCCTCTCTCTCTGCCCCTCCCCCGTTCATGCTGTGTCTCTGTCTCAAAAATAAATAAATGTTAAAAAAAATTTTTTTTAATAAAAAAAAAGAAAATACAAAAGGTAAAACAAAAAAGTTTTAAAAACTACACAGAAAAAATGAGATAAATTCTGCTAACACTTTAGTGTCTCAAACTATTTAGATATAGATATTTTTAATGTGATTTTGAGTGTGTATATTTGTGTGTATTTGTGTTTACGTGAGTTGAAGAGTTCTGAAAATTGCTATTTCATCCACCAAACTCCTCATATAGTTTTCCAGAGAAATAAAAACAGCCTTGCCTTTTATATTTGGCTACAATGTATTTCTTATGTATCATTATCAGTTAAATGATCTCTCAATGTTGGGAACTTTGTTTCTGATGTTTCATTTTTATAAATAAAGCTATTGTGGAAATGGCTATAGATGTTTCCTCTTATATTTTTCTCATTCCATCCTTCGGATAAATACCTTTAACAGAAATTGTTAAATACTATTTTGAAACATATTACCCGTTTGCTTTCTGAAAAATTTTATCATCTACAGCAACATCAAAAGACTTCATTAAGAAAAAAAGTATCTGCCATTATGAAAGTCAAAAAATGTGTTTTTGTTTTTAAAACTGCTTTATTAAAGTAAAATATGGGGGCGCCTAGGTGGCTCTGTTAGCTAAGCATCCAACTGTTGATTTCAGCGCCAGTTGTGATCTCACGGTGAGTGAGTTCAAGCCCCACATCAGGCTCTGTGCTGATGGTGCAGAGCCTGCTTGGGATTCTCTCTCTCTTTCTTTCTCTGCCCTTCCCCCTGCTCGCTCTCGCTCGCTCTCTCTCTCTCTCTCTCAAAAATAAACTTTAAAAAATAAAGTAAAATATGCATACAGAATAGTGTACAACTTAATGAGCTATCACAAAGCAAACACACCCTTGTACTCCCAACCAAGGTATGGAATATTAGCGGCATGAAAGCCGCCTCATATCCCTGCTAGATGCACAAAATTTATCCATGCTACTCATTTTATCTACAGTTCACTCACTTTTGTTGGTGGGTAATAATTAATTATGCAAATATACCACAATTTGCCATTCTCTTGTTGAGACACACTATATCATTTAATGTAGTTTATATATTTGGGCGCTGCTGTTTTGGTCATACAAAAAAGTAAACTTTTAAGTAAACTTACATGTATTTAACATATATATTAAACCTATCAATCTTTTTCTTTTGTTATTACATTATTGGTGCTATCCTTTAAAAATCTTTTCCTTGGGGTGCCTGGGTGGCTCAGTGGGTTGAGCCTCCGACTTCGGCTCAGGTCATGATTTTGGTGCATGGGTTCGAGCCCCATGTCGGGCTCTGTGCTGACAGCTCAGAGCCTGGATCCTGCTTCAAGTTCTGTGTCTCCCTCTTTCTCTCTGCCCCTCACCCACTCATGCTCTCTCTCTCTCAAGAATGAATAAACATTAAAAAAATTTTTTCTTAACTTTTCCTACCACAGGATTATGAAATGTTTACCTACATTTTCCTCTAATACTTTTTTCATTGTTTGTATCTTCACTTCACTTGGAATTTACTTGGATGTAAAGAGTTAAGTAGTTGTATGTCTGTTCATCTTCCCTCAATGGGTAGGCAATTTTCCCAAGAGCTTTTATGAAATAACCCATCTTTTCCCCCTGCTGTCATAAAATGCTTCCTTTATTATATACTAAATTCCCAAATATATACTTGAGTCTCTTTCTGGATGTTCTCTTATGTTTTTAAAACATGCTAATATATTCTTCAATTGGTCATGTAAGTACAAAGTATAAAATTCAAGAGGAAAAACAGAGCGTATAAAGATAGTAAATAAGGCTTCTTTCACACCTGCCCACCAGACACATAGCTACTCTTCTCAAGTTCGACCATGGCTTTGAGTCATTTGTCTACCATTCCAAAAGTAATCTGTGCCTATAAAAAAAGTAAATATACACTCCTGGGTATATTAACATGTCTTTAAAATAGCATACCAAAGCACAGTTCTAGAGTTTGCATTTTCATATAAATCAATTCATCCGTGCTATCTCATCCTTGGTAATATCTGCATTATATGAATTTATTTAAAACCTATACCTCCTGATGAACTGAAACACTGTGTGTCATCTTTTGCTATTATCGGTAAACCTGAAATGAGTATCTGTGGGTAAATCTCAGAAGTACAATTCAGGATTGAAGTATATATGTATTTTTTAAACTACACACTTTGCAGGGTGCCTGGGTGTCTCAGTTGGTTAAGCATCTGACTCTTGATTTCAGCTCAGGTCATGATCTCATGGTTTGTGAGATCTCATCGTTTGTCCCTTGTTGGGCTCTGCAATGACAGCACGGAGCCTGCTTGTGATTCTCTATCTCTCTCTCTCTCTCTCTCTCTCTCTCTCTCTCTCTCTCTCTCTGCCCCTCCCCTGCTCTCTTTCTCAAAATAAAATAAACATTAAAAAAACTATTTATTTTGAAATAATTACAGATATATGCTGTTGTAAGAAATAACACAGATATGCCCTGTGTCACTCACCTAGTTTCCCCCAAGTGGTACCATTTTACAAAACTACAGTACATTATTACAACCAAGATATTGACTCTGATACAGCTGACATACCGAATATTTCCATTGCAAGAATCCTTCATGTTGCCCTTGTGTAGCCATACCCACTTATCTCTTTCCCCTATCCCCTTCTTTTTTTTTTTTTTAATTTTTTTTCAACGTTTATTTATTTTTGGGACAGAGAGAGACAGAGCATGAACGGGGGAGGGGCAGAGAGAGGGAGACACAGAATCGGAAACAGGCTCCAGGCTCTGAGCCATCAGCCCAGAGCCTGATGCGGGGCTCGAACTCCCAGACCGCGAGATCGTGACCTGGCTGAAGTCGGACGCTTAACCGACTGCACCACCCAGGCGCCCCTCCCCTATCCCCTTCTTAACCCCTGGGGACCACCAGTCTATTCTCCATTCCTATAATCTTGTCATTTAAAGAATGTTACATAAATGGAATCATGCAGAATGTAACTTGTTGGGATTGGCATTTTTCACTCAGCATAATGCTCTGGGGATTCATCAAGGTTGTTGCCTGTATCGACAGTTCATTTCTTTTTATTGCTGAGTACTATTCCATGGTATGGATGTATTATAGTTTGTTTAACTATACACTGAAGGACATTTGGGCTGCTTCCAAATTTTTGGCTATTAAAGATAAACATGCTATAAACATTTATGTACAGGTTTTTGTGAT